TTCCAGTCTTGGGAAGTTCAGTATATTAACACGTTTATTATTAGACTGACTTGGGGTAAAGAGAAAATTAAAGCTGTTCATCAAACCACATTTCTTTGTCACCTGCAGCTGCTGAAACAAAATATACTCCTTCCTTTGTATATGCACCAGCTAGTGCATAGTAACACAGAAAATTACCCAATACATCCAGAAAGCAAAGTGACATTATAAATATATTTAAAGATAAAAGGCTTTATAAAACTGTCAGTAAGCCTGAAATATTCTAACGTATCTGCGCCCTCACTAACAAAATAACCCTAAAAAGTCTCTGCATTTCTCAGAGGGGACTGATGGTATTTTTTTTTTGTCAAAAGACTTTGTCAGCAGTAATTTGTCTTCAGCAAGGATGATCACAGAAATACTTTTCTTCTCTAGACTCAGCATTTCAAAGGAAACTTGTACTGACAAGAACATATAAATGGACATTTTTGTCCTTCTACAAATGCTAGTTGGCTAGTTTTCTCTGGCGTCAATACTTTGTCACAGGCCAGTTGAACCACTGGATGTCAGCCCGTTGTGATGGCATGGATGGACGGCAGCCTTCCCAGAACATGACAATGTTTTAAAATGCCCATTTATTTCTATGTGTGTGTGTGCTCGGTTCTAGTGCACACGCAGAAGCACAGTACTGTAATCTGACTGTCCATTGGACAGTGCAGCTCACACAATGAGAATTGTTCTGCACCATGTCATTGCAGTGGCCAGTCACAGCATCACACAATGTAATCAATGGCTGCTGTTGGCAGCCGGTCCTCGCTTTTCTTTCACTGACTGATTGGTATGTGAGAGTAAAGAACGTTTCCTGATTGCAGCCAGCAGCCAAATATAAACTAGAACTAGTGTCATCCAGTACCAGAAACATTAACATATAGTAGCTGTGCCCATTTACCATATTTCCAGGATATGTCAGCTTGATCCTGTCTCTGATCTGACCTGTGTATTAGCCCCTCCCTTTCCATAGCCTGCCTATCTGTACATTAGTCCCTTAATTTTCATCCTCCCACTGTATGTGCCCTGTATTTTAACCCCTTCACCTTTATCTCCATCTGTGCATGACCTGTACATTTAACCTATCTAGTGCACCATTACAAAGCTCCATGTTTTAACTCCCTCCATACCGACATGTTTCTTAATTTTCAAACAATTGTGGCAAGTTAGTTCAACATGTGATGTCTAGTTTCCAAAATGGGATCATTTGGATACTCTTCATACTGTTCTGGCATTTTTATTTGCTATGTTTTCTAACAGAAAATAAGGGAAACTTTGTTATGGTCCTTTTTCCTTTATATAGTAAGAATTAAAAAGCACAGTGGTTTTTAAATAACACAAAAAAACTCCATCTTTCCCAAAAAATTATACAAAATTCATTACGGTACAGTTTTGCATGGCTGAGTAATTGGCAGTCAAGCTATCCCAGCACAGAAAACTAAAAAAGAACTGATCAGAAAGGGGGTGTAACATGTTGGTTCTGAAGTGGTTAAGTATGCAGCAGGGTGGGTTACAGTGAAGTCATACCTCCTCATCAGCCGACTTGTCTCAGGTCAGTCCTGAATCTAATAGATCAGCTAGGCAACTATTATTTTCAGCAGTGGCGGACCTAAGGAACAAAGGGCCCTGGTGCAAGATCCCCCCCCCCAAAAAAACCCCACAAACACTGCGCTCTACTCCCACAGCGCTCGGCCGGCTGTCACACTTTCTCTCCACCCTGCTGGGACACAGAGCAGCGCCCAGCGGGGAGGAAAGAAAGCAGGGATGCGCCGCTGTATCGGCAGAAAAATTGCACTTTCGGCATTTAGCCAAAAGTGCCCTAGACTACCTCCCCCCGCTGCTGAAGAAGCTCCCCATTGCCGTGAAACGCGTTGAGCCCACAAGCAGTGCCTCTCAAGCATTGCAAGCAATTTATCACCCCCACAAGCAGTGTTCTTCCCACCTGAGGTTCACCAATCTAATCCATCAATACCCGTCTCATTTTGAGTTGCCTATGATGTTGTTTTTTCACTTTTTTTCACATGTATAGGATTATGACCATTTAGGCAAACCTCGATTGTGGTGTATAGGGGCTGATAGGAGGTATTTTCCTCTGAGGTATACGTCTTTTATATTTTCATGCATATCCAATGCTTTTTATTAAAAAAAATATTATATATTTGTTCAATAAAATTATATCTTTTATACACCTATGAGACTGAAGTTTATTGGACTTGTTCTTTCTGGAGCCACCAAAAAAAACCCATCTTTCTCTATCCCTTCTTTTGTTAAAATTAAATACTTTTTACTGCTCATTTTTCTCTAGGGGTGAAAATACAGAAGAAAAACTCCCCCGATCCTCAGTCTTGCGGCAGTGACGCATGTATGTCCCTTGGTGCCCTTATGTCTATCGACTGTCGCTTGTAGTTTGAAGCTCCAAAATGTACATGAGCTTCTTTTCAAGCAAAGCTGAGCATTCTTAGCCCTATAGACTTCAATGGAAGCACTTAAATGCGTGCCTAAAATGTGCTTGAACTTTTTTTGCAATTTTGTGCCAAACACCCGTGTCTTCCTTCTAGTAACTATGTTTCAATTGGCTAAAACAAACACCCTTAAAAGCCTGAAAATGCCTTAAACACTCATGGAAAAGTGTGCAAAAAAAAAGGTTTTACATTGCATGAAATATATATGTTCTCTATGAACCAGTATATAACAAACTCTGCCTCTTTCCTAATGCCGTCACTTAAACAAATCAATGTGTTTGGGTTTTTTTTTACAAATTATGATATGCAATTAACATTTTACATGGTGCAATCGATGAACCTAATTATAAGTCATTGAAAATCTATTGGTAGATGTAATACTGTACATGTAGTGCATGCATGATGACCTAAGAATACTTCTGAAACAAACATACTGCATGGAAAAGCAAGAGTATAAAGAATCTTAGCTGCATACTAGAAACCCTTGGCGGCCATCATTTCTGTCAAAGCAGGGGCGGATCCAGAGTCTAGTCTCAGGTGGGGCACTGCCAGAAAATAAGCCCCCCCATCTGGCTCTTCCACTGCTACTGTGCCACCACTTTCCTCTCTCACTGTCACCAGTCAGCATGACCGGACTATCGGCATTGCAATTTATGTTAACATTTTTTGGGGACAGATCAGGTCGGGTAAATAGACACCAAACATGTCAAACATTAAAATTGTGTGCACCCGAAAAATCGCAAAAAACGCCCACAGGCCCATAGGCGACACTTAAACCGCTTTCACTGCTCATCAGTTTAGTGTTATCAGTGATTAATGGCCCTAAAATTATTGCTCTCACTGCGACGTTTGCGGCGATATGTAACGTGTGCGGCACAATAGGCGCAATCGTCGTTTTCGCACATAGGCGCACCCGACGCATATCTGCGTGTGTATGTGGGGGGCAGGGACTTAAAAAAATTGTTTTCTTTTTTAATTGTTTTATGCTTTATTTTTATTTTTATGATTCTTTAATTTTTGTATTACTTTTTTTTTTTTTCAGACAACTTTATTGCTATTACATGGGGGGGCTAAGAAGCCCCCTATGTGATAGCCAATTTACATGACAGGTCCTCTTTATGGAGACATCAGGGGTCTCCAAGACCCCTAATGTCACCTAGGGACCCCCAGAGAAGCTGATGAAGCAGAGATCGGCTTCATCAGCTTCTGTAGCTGGAGAGTGACACTGAATGCAGGAAGTGATGTAACATACATCACTTCCTGCATTCGGGGACTGAGAGAAGATCAAAGGGAGACCGTATACTGATCTCCCTTTGATCTTCTGTCACAGAGCCATGCCGGCAGTCGGCTAATACAAGCAATCGGGCGTCTCTACAGACTCCCGATCGCTTGAATGTAAAGCTCCCGACGGGATTTTTCAAGCCCTGCCTCTGATCCTCGCACAC